GATGGGCTCAAAAACTGCAGAAATACAAGAATATAGCCAATGACAAAAATTTCTAGCTAAAGAATTAAATGTGCTTTCACTATTAAAATGTTGTTAGCATAAAGACATTCTCTAGAAAAAGTCCAAGTGATTGACATAGACTCTGACCCAGCTTTTGCCTCTGAGACTTCCCCTTGTCTCCACCTTAGTAACTGACAAACCCACATTCCCATCTGGCCCAAGACTAGCCCTCTATTATCCCTGGACTTGCTCCTGGACCTTGGTAATTTTTCTTGGCTGACATCTACCTCCTTGGGCAGACCCCTACCCTGGCCCTGACAGGAATGTCTGCATCCCCTTTCTAGATTCCTGACTTGTTTAAATCCCACAGCTTGTGCCTGAAGGTGAGGATGGACTGTGAACAAAATCTATCATTTCTAAGGCTCACAAAACTCTCTCTCTCTGGCATGCACACAGCCATTATCACTCATTTACTTAACCTCCAACACATTAAGAATTGCTAGGCACAGTGTTACGCACCTGTTGTCGCAGCTACTCAGGAGGATTGCTTGAGATTCAAAGTTCAAGACCACCAGCCTGGGCAACAGAGGGAGACCCCCATCTCAAAAACAAAGAATTTATTTCAAATAATGATGTTTTTCCTTCATTCTCCTACTTCTAATATAATTTCTGTGTCTGATTATATTTTTCACTATGAATTTTGTCCTTAAAAATGAATTCCCTTTTTGATCAAAACCCTTTTAGAGACAAACAGATATCATTGGCACTAAATTTGGGTGCCTTCTAGTGACTAGAAGGAAAGCCAGAATCTATCATTTTTTTCTCAGTCCCTTTCTGTCCATTTTCCTTGGCTAAACCCAAAACTCTAAAAAGGCTATTTGCTCTTTATGAACTTTTCTTTAATCTACTTTAGAAACATCATTCAATAATTATTTTACACTTTGATTTCCTTTAAAGGTTTCTTAAAAATTCTGGTGCACTGGCTCGGCACCTGTGGCTCAAGTGGCTAAGGTGCCAGCCACATATACCTAAGGTGGCGGGTTCGAATTCAGCCCGGGCCTGCCAAACAACAATAACAGCTGCAACCAAAAAATAGCTGGGCATTGCGTTGGGTGCCTGTGGTCCTAGCTACTTGGGAGGCTGAGGCAGGAGACTCGCTTGAGCCCAGGAGTTGGATGTTGCTGTGAGCTGTGATGCTACAGCACTCTACCCAGGGGGACAGCTTGAGGCTCTGTCTCAAAAAAAAAAAAAAAAAAATCTGGTACACCATACTTAATCCTCACCTGTCACTAACACTGAAATACTCCAAAAAATGTTTTTGCCTTATTCTTTTCTTCGTCTGCCTACTTACTATAATTCATTTAATGTTAAAGAGAATCCTGTTTTATGGCTCAGAGCCTGTGGCTCAAGTGGCTAAGGTGCCAGCCATGTGCAACTAAGCTGGAAGGTTCAAATCCAGCCTGGGCCAGCCAAACAACAATGACGGCTGCAACCAAAAAATAGCCGGATGTTATGGCGGGTGCCTGTAGTCCCAGCTACTTGGGAGGTGGAGGCAGGAGAACTGAGTGAGCCCAGGAGCTGGAGATTGCTGTGAGCCATGATGCCACAGCACTCTACCCAGGAGGACAGCTTGAGGCTCTGTCTCAAAAAAAAAAGAATCCTGTTTTAAAAATTTGCCAGTTCAGGGGAATAAGTCTATAAAATTATGTGTAAATCTTAAACAAATCTGCTACTATGCATTTTATCATCTCTTTCTATAATGGTTTTTATTTCACGAAAAGCCTCAGTTGTGTTTGGGGAGGGGCTGTCATCACAAAATAATATAGTAGCATAGAAAGAACACAGCTATTTGTATGGACAGACTAAAGACAGTGGCAACATCCAGTTTCACAGACAGTACTTGCCCCCAAATCTTACATGTTATCAGAAAATGAAAGTAGACTATTTTCAACTGAAGGAAAACTCATCTATAATTGAAATCTGTGCTGTCAAGGTTTTAGTCAAACAAATTCACAGTTACTAAACTTGACAAATGTGCATTCATCCAGTAAGTATTTCTAGGAAGAGGAGATACTGCAGCTAACTCTGCAATAAGAAATTTTAACTGGACATTTTTAGTACAAGATGATGAAAGAGTATGTTGATAAGATGGAACTCCACTTAGAACAAAACATACATCTATTCAAAGGTATCAAATCCAGCAGGTTTCAGGGACTAGGGTTGTGTGTGAGGAAACTATATTAAAATCCATGAATGGGAAGGTAGGCTCAGAGATAAGAGATATTGATTGAGAATAAATAGTTCAAGAGAAAATAAATGCATATAGTACCTTGGTAGTTCAGTACCAACTGTGAGAAGGGGGCAGTGTGCAAGAGAGAGAAGAGAGAAAGAAAGAATTTCCAAATATGGGCACAGAGCAAAATATAGTCCAAATGAGGTATTTAGGGTGTCCAGGTATTTGCTGATGCTCTCAAAAGTTGAATCACTGATAAATATTTGCCATACTTTACTGGCTATTGCATTACTCAAAAGGTAGAAAGAACTAGAGTAATAGCCACCATTTATTAATTACTCAGTTCCAAGCATTTTACTAAAGATGTAGTATATTTGATGCCACTAATTCTTTCAACAATCATAAGAATTATCCCCATTTTATAAATGAAGAAATCAAAGCTCAGAGACAGTAAGTAAATTGCATGATAAAACAGCTGTGAGATAGAAGAAATTGAACTGAAAGCCCATATTCATAACCATCTTTCAAAGATATAGAAATAAAAGTATTAAATAAAATGTAAGCCTGTTAATTTAAATGTTAGAATCAGACCTGAAAATAGAATTTTGTCAAAACTGAGGGAAAATACACATGATTTCATGTACAAAAACTCTAAAAGCTAGTATAATATAAAAGATACAGGAAGAGGTAATGCATATTCATTTGAGCATTGTTTGAATCTGAGAGAGTCAAACTATCATCCGTAACCTGACAGACTTTTAAGTTTTTGGAGGTCATTTAATAGATGGTCCATTTAAACAAATGAAGTGTCATGGAAGAAGCCCAAGTGCCCATTGACCCATGAATGGATTAATAAATTGTGGTATATGTACACTATGGAATATTATGCAGCCTTAAAAAAGATGGAGACTTTACCTCTTTCATGTTTACATGTGTGGAGCTGGAATATATTCTTCTTAGCAAAGCATCTCAAGAATGGAAGAAAAAGTATTCAATGTACTCAGTCCTACTATGAAACCAATTTATGGCTTTCATATGAAAGCTATAACTCAACTATAGCCCAAGAAGGGGAAAGAGGAGAGGGAGGGGAGGAGGGAGGATGGGTGGTAGCAGGGCAATTGGTGGGACCATAGCTACCATGCATTTTACAAAAATACATGTTAAATCTACTAAAGGTAGAATATAAATATCTTATCACAATAACTAAGAAAATGCTGTGAAGGCTATGTTAACCAGTTCGATGAAAGTATTTCAAATTGTATATAAAACTAGCACATTGTATCGCAGAATTGCATTAATGTACATAGCTATGATTTAATAAAAAAATTTAAAAATTTTTAAAAAATGAAGGGAAGGGCTCAGCGCCTGTGGCTCAAGTGGCTAAGGCGCCAGCCACATACACTCAAGGTGGTGGGTTCGAATCCAGCCTGGGCCCACCAAACAACAATGACGGCTGCAACCAAAAATTAGCTGCGTTGTGGCGGGTACCTGTGGTTCCAGCTACTTGGGAAGCTGAGGCAGGAGACTTGCTTGAGCCCAGGAGCTGGGGGTTGCTGTGAGCTGTGATGCCATAGTACTCTACCCAAGGGGGACAGCTTGAGGCTCCTGTCTCAAAAAAAAAAAAAAAAAATGAAATGAAGAATTAAATCGTTCACTGACAGAAGGTAAATTTTCTGTTTTAAGGAGTTTAACTGTTAACGAGAGTACGGTTTTTGAGATTATGCAACTGCCAGTGTTGAGTCTGCTTAAAGCCTTGGTAGCAGAAAGGATGTAGGTTTTGAGCACTGAATCTGCATTGGTTGAGGAAAAGCATATTGAAAACAATAAAAGTGCTTGCACCCCTTCACTCCCCAGCTGGGGATTTTAACTAACATTACTGACTTCTTAAAAGTATCCATTTAAAAACAAAGAAAAGAACAAATTTTAAAAATATCCAACTAAAAAAGGAATTCACTTGAGGAAGTTCTCACTTCTGGCTACTATGGCCACATGGCTAATGGCTTCTGGCCTGTGAGACGAACCCTGATACAAACCAAGCACTGTTGACCCAGAATTAATGGAACACAAGGTTGCCCCTTGCTCATCCACCTGCTGTGGCAATCTGAGAAGGATAAAAGTAATTTTTTTGTGTGTTGTTTAAAATCTCAAGGGTAGGAGTTGCTGACAACGGGGAGTGCATGTGCTTAAGTGTCTGTTTTTCCTGTTCATTTTACTTTTTAAATGACTCTAAGAAACTAAACACATAACTTAAAGAATTATTCCCTCATCTGTATCTGTCTCTTCTTCACGCTATAAAAAAGTATTTGCAGCAATTTTAAGATTCCTCCCTGGCGATACTGCAAACTCGGTTGTATTCATCATTATATATCGGAGTATAGCTAGAACATTGTGTAGCAAACAGAAGACACTCTACATATATAGGTTGACTGAATGAACCCCCACATTTTAGAGCTAGTTTGAGGTTTTCATGCTCCATAGGCGCTGCAGAGCCATTAAAATAATTAGGGGGGAGCCAAGGGGCACACAAAATTGCCCGATAGCTGTTCTTTTCTTTAAAACATGCATAAAAATAAAGCTAAATGTAAACACGCACTGCACTGGCGGACATTATGCGCCATTTACCAACTCCGCAAGTCGGAAATACCCTCCAGCTAGAGAATCACTTTTGCGCTTGCTCAGTTCTGGGCTCCACGGCAAAAGGGAGGGTTCTAAGGAAAAGGAAATGGTAACTGCGCCTGCGTTGCTCCTTCCCCGGCTTGGGCTGGCTGCGCAGGCGCACAGGTACCATTTTGACCGTAAACATCCTGCCGATTTGAACCGAGGATTTGGGCGGCAGGAAGAGCTGCTGCGAAGCGGCAGCCATCTTGTTTGTTTGAGTGAATCGGAAAGGAGGCGGCGGCTGTGGCTGCAGCTTCTCCCAAGCTACACTTCACAAGGGATTCCCCCTTTCCCCGCCCCCTCCCCCGACCCTTTTCCCCTCCCCGGGCCACCCAACCCGCCCAACTCCCAGCGAAGAGCAAGGTAGGAACCTCAGCCGACCCCTTCTTTCTCTCCAGCTCCCTCCTCCACCCCTTCCCCGCGGTGCTGCCTCCAGGGAACCGGCCCCGGGGGGAGCGGGAGGCCCGGGCAGCTCTCGGCGCTCTCCCGCGTGCTGCCACCCTCCGTCTCCCCCGCGGCGGCGCCTCCCGTCCAGGCCTCTCCGCCCCGGGCCCGCCCTCGGCCAGGACCCGCTCACGCTGGGCCCGCATCATTGCTTGTTCGGTAACAAATGGTTCTGATCGGTTTTAACACCTACGAAAGCCGTTACGCGGCTGGTACCTTGGGGAGCCGGCCCTTCTGTCCCCAAAGGAGGCCGAGGAAATTCTGGGCCCCGCAGGGAGGGGTGGAGGTTTGAACGAGCCCGCTCTCGCGACCGGGCCGCCTACTCCTCGGATAAAAATGGCTGTTCGGGAAGACGCGGGATTCCCGGCGGGAAGAGGCGGTGGCGGGCCCGGCTCCCGCGATGCCGGCCCAGAGGGGCAGCGACCGTTCGCCGGGCTCTATTGCAGGGATCCTGGCCGTGCGGGAGGGACCTGCTACTCAGGGCACGGTGGCGCCGAGGGTGGCGGGGACCCCTGGGCCAGAGACTGCTACTATCTCTCCCACCACCCTTTTTTTCTAAGGGAAATTTTTACATTGGGAATATTAAATATTGGGCTGACCAGTAGAAAACGTGGTGAAGGGAAGTTGCTTCTGTTTCTTAGGAAATTAGCATAATTCTTCCCGCAACTTTTCCAATCATTTTTTTAAAAGTAATTAAAGATATTCGGGTGTTGTAGAGACCCTTTGGAGGAGGCGTGTGTTCCTGGTAAATGCTGATCCCTTTTTTTTGTCGCTGAAAAAGGCTTTACGAAAATGATTCGCTCTGATAGTGTGTGGGGGGGTGACACTGTCCGGTTGTGCCGCCAGACTTAGCGGCAGCGGCCTTCTTGAAATTTGAAAGAAGGAAACGCTGGGGGGATTTGTTTGGTCACTCTCTTTATTAGGCTGACTTCAGCTTTCTAAAACGCGTGTGTGTTGTCAAGGGTTTCTGGTGAAGGATTTTGTTCATTGATTTCTCTTTGCAATCGAAAGTTAATATTTGCTCTCATTATATACTGTTAGACAGTAGCAATTGATTTCTGGTGGGGGGCTGTTATCATAAATTGAGTGTAAATGCTAGTGAGCTGTGTGTCTGCAGAATTTTGGAGGACAAGTTGAAGCTTTCTTAAGCTGTAGTCATTATATGGTTTAATGTTGGAGGCAACTATTTTTGGAAAGGCATTGATGCCATATTCAATGAGTAAATTATTTAACAGGTTGTATAGTTGAAGTGACAGCAGTGCGTAACTAATAGGCTGTATAGTTGAGGTGACAGCAGCGCATAACTAATGGTCATACTGCTTTTTATACACGTCAGAATTACGTTGGTGGAGCATAACCTTTACCCTAATTGTATTTAAAAGGCCATATGGTAGTATGCTGTAGAATAGAGCGTTCCATTTAATGTGGTGTATGATTGAAATATTGTTAAAGTTGAGAAATTCCAGATGAATTCAAATGCAGAGAAATTTTCTTTTACAGTTGGTATGGAAGGGAGATTTTCTAATTCTGGAGAAATAAAGATTGTGTTTTGTTTTAATGTCACGTCAGAGTTACTAAGCATGATCATGCTGGATTAATGATCTGCTGCAAGAGTGTTTTCAGAGTTATTGTTTGCATTTACAGTGGCACTGTGTTGAGTATGCTGTTGTGTTTGATGCTCATAATCCTTGTTGGTGAATATTATTCCCACCTTACAGTTGAGAATGCTGAAAACTTAGATGTTAAATTACATGTTCACCATTGCAAAACCACTAAGGAGGGAGCTGAGTTTGAACCTAGAACTGATTGTGAAACCCTTAGTCAAAGGATTTGAGAACCAAAAGACAGGAGAGCTCTTGTGTGCAGGGTTGGAAATACCTTCTGTCTCTGAGAGCCCCGCTCCACCTCCCAAACACATAGTTCCATCCTTACCTAACAGGTTGCTGTTTTCCAAGGTTAGTAAATTGCCAGACTTAAACCTTTCAGGATTTTATCAGTATCAGGATCCTCAGTAGGAAAACTGAGCTACATAGAGGTTGAGCAGCTTCTCTTGCCAATTTATGGCAATGCAGGGTTAGGTCTTTACTCCAGTGTAGTAGTTTTTAGTTTGAATAGGTGATGTCTACGTGTAGTATAAGTATGTTGGGAATTTAAATCAAATGGTTCTAAAAGGAAGGCCTCACTTTCCCTGCATCCCTACTTTCCAGGAGTAATCAGTGGTACCAGTTTTGTGTGCACTGCACAGATACATTATGCTTATGCAAGAGCATATAAATAGAGAGCCCCTTTTTTTTTAAACTTCAACTATTCCTCATTTATCCTGGAAATTTTTCATATTAATTTTTTAATGTTTGTTCAAGGCAGAATGTGTATTGTTCCCAGGGGGATTGGTGCTAGGCAGAAAATTGTGGCATGCTCAAGTCCTTAATATTAAAGGACTATTAAGTGTTTATAGAAAACCTACTAGTGCATCCTCCTGTGTGCTATAAATTAACCTGTAATACCTTAGACAACGTAAATGCTATGAAAATAGTTATACTATATTTTTATTTTTGTTGAGTTTTCGTTTTACTGTTTCATTTTTTTGTTTTGGGGGGCCTCCTAAATATTTTAGATCTCTAGTTGAGTCCTCCTCAAATGAGGTACTCATGGATACAGAGGGCTGACTTTATTGTGCTGTATGGGTGTATTAAATTTTCCTGGTGTGCTTATTAGTAGCAAGATAGGTTATTTCTAATGCTTTGCTATTCTGCTCTGGCAAGGTAGCATCGCTTTGTAGTTCTGAAGTTCAAGCTCTACTTCCACTAAATACTGTATGACATATACCTGTATTCTCTTTTGCTCTCTTCTCTCATCTGTAAAACAATGGACCAGTTCACTTAAAGGATAGCCTATGAAATATAAACACTTTTAGTGTTTAGTGTTTTCTTTTGGTTTTTCCTATAATATGGTATAGTATATCTCTAAGTATATCTTTCATATTGATTATTGAAAATGCAATTTCTGGCTAGAACATAAGTCTGAAGTTTTCTTAAGAAGTTGCCAGATTGTCCTTGAGAGAGGTCATAGCAAATTTACCCAACAACTATCCTGCCATGCTTTCTAGTAGGTGTGTGAAATATTAGTAATGACTGATACTTTCCTGGAAATATGGGGGGTTTTTTTTTTTTTTTTTTTTTTTTGAGACAGAGCCTCAAGCTGTCCCCCTGGGTAGAATGCCATGGCTTTACAGCTCACAGCAACCTCCCAACTCCTGGGCTCAAGCGAGTCTCCTGCCTCCGCCTCCCAAGTAGCTGGGACCACAGGCACCCGCCACAACGCCCGGCTATTTTTTGGTTGCAGCTGACATTGTTGTTTGGCAGGTCCGGGCTAGGGATTCAAACCCGCCACCTTAGGTGTACGTGGCTGGCGCCTTAGCCGGTTGAGCTATAGGCGCCAAGCTGAAATATGGGTTTAAATTTGACTGAGTCTTTGGAATGATCTTAAAGAAAGTGCTTTTTTTTTTATTCATAAGTATTATTTTTTTATTCATAAGTGTGTTTTATCTCATTTCACATCAGACTTTAATTTTTTTTAGGATCAGTTGAAGAAAGATGCTTGTTGCTTTCAAAAACTGATTCAGAAATCATGAAATTGATAGGTTTTCTGAAAATCTTTATAAAGGTTTAGAAATGTAGAACCTTCAAAACCTACAGAAATTAGTCAGCCTTTTTTTAAGGTTGGATAAAGTTTGTTATTAACGAGGAAAAAAATAAGCTTAGAAAAGAGTAATGATGACACTTTCTCTTTATTTAGATATGTCAATAATTGTTGTACCAAAGCTCCTTTGACTTCCTTTACTTATTAGGGTGATTTCCGCTTGCTAATCATTTCCCAGATTAATTTTAGCACCATTCTGCTTTACTTACCTTCCAGCCCATGCCAAGAAAGCATCTGTTTAGGAATCTCTGCCTCTGCATAGCTGGGATATTTTAGGCATGGTGCTCTGACCAGCAGCTGAAGTGCTGGCCCCAAGTTACTGACACCTGTTTAAAAGTGCCAGTAGTTTTAATTTCTTAAACCTCTAAAATTTTTTTCGTATGTCAATTATAAAATCAGTTGGTATGTCCTGTTTACTTATTCATTAAACACATACAGTGTTTTTAGTAATTGTCAAGTGGCAGACAGTATTCTATGAACTAAATATCCAGGAGTTGTCTGTTTGTTTGGAACACGATTGTTTGCTTCCATAATCATATTTAGGGCTTGTCAGGTACAGTAGTGACTGTATTTCTCCGAACACCCTACCATATTGGATTTCTGTAAAATTCTTTGAATTTTGTTTATAACACGGTAGGGGCAGCTCAAGTTTTGTGCTGACTTTTTAAGAACTAAAGTAGAAACTATTGGAAACATAGGCTATAGTTGATTATGGGAAGTATATTTTGATCTATACTAAGTGGCAAGGCCAGGCACCGTAATCCTAGCACTCTGGAAGGCTGAGGCAGGTGGATTGCTTGAGCCTCAGGAGTTCGAGACCAGCCTGAACAACAGCAAAACCCATCTTTAATAAAAATAAAAATAGAAAAACTAGCCTAGCATGGTGGTAGGCGCTCTGGAGACTAAGGAAAGGGGATGGCCTGACCCTAAGAGTTTGAGGTTGCCTTAAACAATGACGAGATGGGCACAGAGCACAGACTGAGACTCTGGCTCAAAAATAATAAGTGGCAAATAAGGCACCCTTTAAATGTGACTGTTAAATGTTTCTATCTTAAAGTATGTAGTCTGAATTCTTCCTAGTGTAGCATTCCTTCGTTCTTAAGTCCAAATTTAGGAGAAAGAGTTTATACAACCTTAGGCAACTCAAGCCTGTTTTGGTTTTTTTTTTTTTCTTCCCCCTTTTTAGAAAATCTTCCTACTAGGAACGAATGATCCTCTGGGAATATTATGTTCAGAGAATGAGAATTTCAGGACCCTTTTCCTATTAAGTGATGGAAAATCGAGATAAGACAAACCTGAATGCATTATTCTTGTGCCGCCACCCCCTGCCCTACCAGATATTTTTGATGTACTTGAAATCTTTTGCCTGTGATATTATAACTAAAATATATATTCTATATACAACATTGGAAAGAATGGGCACATTTTTATTTGAAAGTACAGTAAGCACAGTTCTCATTTTAAAATACACATTTTGTGAAAACATGAAAATCAGAGTTACTCTGTATCTTCTTATAAAGTTAATTCAAAAGAGATTTTACATTCCCACTAGCAGTGCCAGAGATCCATTTTTTTTCTGTATTCTTGCCAGCATTTTATGTTGTCACTGTGTTAACTCTGGGCCTTAATTTGCATTTTTCAAATGGCTAGTGCTACTGAACATCTTCTCATGTTTATTTTGCTGTTGATAATCCTATTCTGTAAATTTGTCATTTCTTTCCTTATTTCCTAATTGGATTTATTTTTTATTTCAGAATTTTTACAGTTCCATACGTATTCTAGATCCAAGTTCTAGTCAGATGTGTGGTTTGCACGTATTTTTTTCCTGGTCTGTGGTTTGCCTTTGCATTCTGTCAATGGGGTCTTTTGTGAAGCAAAAGTTTTTAACTTCATGAAGGCAATTTATTGAGTGAGAACTTTGTCTCATGTGTTGTGTATTTGGTGTTAAGTCTAAAACTTTTTACCATGCTTTAGGTAACTGAAAGTTTCCTGTTTTTTTTTTTTTTTCTCTTCTAAAAGTTTTGTAGTTTTACATTTAAGTCTATGACCTATTTTGAATTAATTTTTCTATAGCATGAAGTTTAGGTCAGTTTTGTCACGTGGGTCTTTTTTGTCTATGGATAGCATTCAATCACTCCGGCACCATTTATTGAAAAATCTGTCCTTTGAATTGCTTTGCATTTTTGTAAAACATCAGTTGAACTTAACTGTGTGGTGCATTTCTGGCTTCTCTATTTCTTTTTCTGGATCTTTGTGTTTTTCCTGCTGCCAGAACCTCCGTGTTGAGGATTATAGCTATATAGTAAGTCTGGAAATTGGATTTTTTCAAAATATTTTTTGTTTTTTCTGGTTCCTTTGCCTCTTAAACAAATTGTGATATATCCATCCCATGGACTACTACCCAGCAATAAAAAGGAACGTACTACTGATAGATGCAACAACTTGTATGATTTCAAGAGCATCATGCTGAGTCCAAAAAGTTATATACTATATGATTCTATATTTAACTTTTATCAAAATGGAAAATTAGAAATGTGGGAGAGTGGTGGTTGCCAAGACTTAAGAATAGTTGGGAGCAAGGAACGGGTATGACAGAGCTTTGTGGTGATAGACTAGATCTGTACCTTTCTGCACAAATCTGCGTTTGTGATAAAATGGCATACAAATTATGTAGGCACATTAAACCACTGTCACGTCCTGGTATTGATACTGTATTGTAGTTATGTCACCATTGGTAGAAACTGGGTAGAGTACAGAGGACCTGTCTGCTATTTTTACAACTCCTCGTGAGTATAATTATTTCAAATTTAAAATTTTTAAGTAGTTTTATGTATTGTAGTTGTACTTGATTTTATTTCTATAAAAGCAAGACATATATCTTATTCTAATCATAAGTATTAGAGATAGAAATTCACTGGACAAAGTAGATTTCTTTTAAATCTGTGAAAGAAGGAAATTAAAGAATATAAATCAAATATCACACAACTAATATACACTTCAGGTCTGGGCTTTTGGAACTACCTTTCTTTTCTGAATACATAAGTCTGCTAAAAGAAAACTTAAATGTTAGTAACAAGCTTGAGATTCCAAGACTATTTTGGTCATAAGATAAATTTTATATTGTACCATTGTTGTGGATTCAGCATTGAAATTATAAATGGACAAGTGCTTTTTAAGTTCTTGAGCTAAGAAAACAATGCATAAAATACTTTCTTTGAGTCTCAGTTTTTCTAAATTACCCTTCTATAAAATAGAGACAAGACCAGGATCTTAGCTTTGCGGGATCGAATGTGAAATGCTTCCAGTGCTTGTCATGTGGTAGCAGTTTTACAAAGCATTTAGCTGAGAGTCTCAATTTTAAATGGGATTCTTAAAAAATTTTCACATTAGCTATTATCTATATCTGGGTATTTTTCTTAAACATTCTCTTCTTGCCATGAAAAACATACTCTCTAGTTTTTATGCAGTAATTTCCACTGTCAGTAATCAAGTAGGGATAGAATAAAGGCCTGAAGGAAACTTAATCTTTTTGTTTCTTTTACCTTCAGCTCTTAATATTTTAGGGACCATTTTTTGGCCCTGTCGAAATTAAAGTAATTGTTTTAAAATGCATGTTACACATTTCCTCAAGATTTTTCATAGTTCTTGCATTAAAAAGAGTAGGAAACTTTGTTTTCAGATTTCTTACATCTTGATAAATATTTCAATTCTCATATGATACTTACATTAACTTTCTGTCCTCTCAGGTTGCCTTCTATTTCATAGCCAACTGGAACAATGTTCTACGCACACTTTGTCCTCAGTAAAAGAGGGCCGCTGGCCAAAATTTGGCTAGCGGCCCATTGGGATAAGAAGCTAACCAAAGCCCATGTGTTTGAGTGTAATTTGGAAAGCAGTGTGGAGAGTATCATCTCACCAAAGGTATGTTTGATGTTGATAATTTCTATTTGTTGATGGTTTATTAATATGGGAAATAGCAGTTGTAAAAACACTAAGTAGACATATATGTATATTGGAGGCAAGGAAAATTACAGGTTATCCAAAGTTTTTCTCTGTTATTATATGAAGTCTTTATCACTGCTAGATACAATTTGATACGATAACAATTTTTCTCTTTAACAATTTGCTAAAAGCACGAGTGCTCTAATTTGCCTATTTTAGAGGCAAATAAACACAAGCTGGGGCAGTGTCCAAATATTTTATATTTAGCTTTCTAGGTATTAGAAACTTGTATTTAAATATATATATAAGTGTTTCTGGTTTAGGAATTTACAAAATAGTCTGAATAAGAGATCCGTTAATTAGAACAGGTTTCAGGGGCCAGATCCTATCTTATTCACACAGCAAGTACTATCCATATCCCTTACTTTATTACCTCAGTCTCACAGGCCTACTTGCTTTTTCTTGAAGGTAATAAGCTTTTTCCCTATCTCAGAACTTTTATACTTGCTGTGTCCTTTCCAAGGAACACTCTTTGCCTGAATATTTGCTTGCTTGTTTACTGTCTGCACTAGGACAGAAGCCTCATGAGTGTCCTTACCTTATCTGCCTTGTTTATTGATCTGTTCCTAGAGGAACTTTTATTGACATCTTCTAAAACTGTTCTGAAGCAGTGAACACATGTGCATTTCACAAATAGTAGAACTTAAAGAAATGATGCATAGGGGGTTTGCTTTGCCAGGAAGGACTTTTAATACATACACTTGCAGTTGCCTTCCATATCATTGGCATTTCATTGGAGAATAGACATAGAGGAACTAATCTGAAAGGAAAAATCCTTCAGTATAATTTAAGTATATGTTTCCATCTGTGTTTTTTCTGTACCTTGTATCTACGTACACATACGTGCACGTGTACCACATGTATGTACCAACTGTCTTCTTATGAAAATGCTCCAGATCACAGCTGTGTGTGTTAGCATCAGGAGCTACTCTTCTTAGAATTGCCGGTTTGGACAATGTTGGGATGCTGTGTTAGGTAAAAAGAGTAGTTTTTATTTCAGGGTGGGCGACAGAATAAAGCTGGGGATGTGGCTCGGCACCTGAGCCCAAGCGGCTAGGGCTCAAACCACATACACCAGAGCTAGTGGGCTCAAATCCAGTCCAGGCCTGCTAAACAACGATGATAACTATAACCTGAGAATAGCCCAGCTACAACCTAAGAATAGCTGGGCTTTGTGGCAGGCGCCTGTGGTCCCAGCTACTTTGGAGGCTGAGGCAAAATTTCTATTAAAGAAATTTTTATCAATTTTATCAAACTATTCTAAGATAGTACTAATATGAAAATTTTAATAAAATGAAACCTTTACAAACAAAAATAAGAAAATACATGGTCTATACTCCTATAACCTAGAGAAACCTCTAAAAACTGCGTTATATTGTTTGTAACAAACTGCATTAGGAACAGACCTATCTGTTCCTATCTATAGGAACCTATCTGTAGGAACCTATCTGTAGGAACCTATCTATAATTATTGGTATTCACAAGGTCGTAGTCTCTTCTCCAGAGAACTTACATAAAATTTAACACAAACTTGACCTAGACTGAAGTGATTTTAATATTCATAAATTCACTATGAAAGTGCTAATGTGTATGAGTAAAGAATATTATGTGTCTGTGTATATACCCACTTCATTGCCCTTACAATATTTAGGATACTCTGAATTCTAAAACACATTTGGCCCCTAGGATTTCAGGTAAGCAGGTAACAGACTTATAAGTCATTGTTTGGGTTGTATTATATGATTTCTCTTTTTGAGTAGTTTACATTATTTCTAATTTTTTGCAGTTTAATGCTTATCCAATACAATGCAACCATTAAAAATGACAGTGGACCAGTACAATGGAGAAAAGATAGTCTTTTCAAAAAATGGTGCTGGGACACCCAACTGGACAACAGGCAAAAAAAATAATAATAATAAAACAGCTGAACAGACTGTATACCCTTCAAAAAAAAAAAAACTCAATTGCGTTGTAGACTCAAAAAAAACACAAAACTGTAAAACTTTTAGAAGATCATATAGTAGAAAATCTTCTAGATGGTGGATTTGGCAATGACTTTTTAGATTTAGCATGGAAGGCACTATCCGTCAAAGAAAAAATTATAGCTGGACTTCATTAAAAGGAAAAATTTCTGCCCTGCAAAAGACATTGTAAGAGAATGAAAAGACAAGCAACAGACTGGGAGAAAATTTTTGCAAAAAACAAATGTGATGATTGTTATCCAGAATGTACAAAGAATTCCCAAAATTCAACAATAAGAAAACAACATAAGTAAAAAATGAGACAAACTTTGATACCTCACCAAAGAAAATACACAGAAGACAAACATATGAAAAGATAGTCAACATCATATGTCATCGACGAATGCACATTAAAATGAGATCCTACCACATACTTACTAAAATGGTCAAAATCCAAAATGCTGACAACACGTAAAACTGGCATGGTTATGGAGAAACAGGAACTCTCATTCATTCCTGGTGGAAGTGCAAAATGGTACTACCACGTGGGAAGACATTTTGGTTTCTAACAAAACGAAACATACTCCTCAAGAGAAAAAAATAATAAGTTCAAGAAGGGCAGGAGGAGGAGATTCAGTAAATTCCCACCTAACAGATACACCTAACACATCCCTTGGGTGAGGCACTCAACTACAAATTGTTCTTTACCACACGAATGCAAATAATATAACCTATCTGGGAAAAAAAAGTAAAAATAAAACCTCCAAAAAATAAAGAAAAAAAATTAAAAATAAACATATTCGTACAGTCTAGCTCCTTGGTATTTACTCAAAGTAGAAAACTTAGGTCCATGCAGAAACTTAAACACAAGTGTTTATAGCATCTTTGTTCATAATTGCTAAAACTTGGAAACCACTAGGTAAGATGTCCTTGAGTAGATGTATAGATAGATTAGCTGTAGTGCATCCAGACAATGAAATTATTTAATGCTAGAAATAAATTATCAAGTCAGGAAAAAATGGGAAGGAACCTTAAATGCATATATTACTGAATATGTATCTGAAAAAGCTACCTACAATGTGATTCCAGCTGTGTACACTATGGAAAAGGTAAAAATTTTGGAAAAAATAAAAAGATGAGGGCCTGGACAGGGAAGGCAAAGAACAGGATTTTTTTTAGGACAGTACAACTGTTGTGCATGATCCTATAATAGTAAATACATGTCCTCATACATTTGTCCAAACTCATGGACAGGAGTTAACCCTGATGTAAGCTATGGGCCACATTGGGTAATGACGTGTCTATGTAAGTTTATCAGTTATAATATACGTACTACTCTGATGGGAGAAGTCAGTGGTGGGGCAGGTGGTGCATGTGTTGGGGAAGGAGGCGTATGGGAAATCTATGTACCCTCCGCTAATTGAAGCTCTGAACCTAAAACTGGTGGTAGAGCTCTGGAAAGAGCTTTTCCTAGATCCAGTCTTGCATCAACCATTGTAGTATGTTGCAATACTATTTTGATTTTTACATACACATAACATGAAGAGAAATTATGTGTACTTGCACAGATAAAAACACGCACATAGGAAAGCCTACAATACATACAAAATATTAAATATTTGCCTAGGTGATAGGATTACAGGTTGTTTCTTTTTTGAAACTAACCATCTAGTAAACATTTCTTGTTAAATCTTTGTTCATATTCATAAGTCTTAAGATTGATATTTAGGAATGTAATTAATGGGTCAAGTGTTACACATATTTTTAAGTTTTTTTGTTTTGTTTTGTTTTGTTTTGTTTTTGAGATAGAGTCTTGCTCTGTCACCCTGGGTGGAGTGCAGTGGCTTCATAGCTCATAGCAACCTCAAACTCTCGGGCTCAAGAGATCTCTGCCTCTGCCTCCCAAGGAGCTGGGACTACAGGTACCCGCTACAATGCCCAGCTAGTTTTTCTATCTTTAGTATAGATAGGGTCTTGCTTTTGTTCTTGCTCAGGCTGGTCTCGAGCTCCTGTGCTCAAGAAATCTATTTCCCTTGGCCTCCCAGGTACGAGCCACTGCACCCAACCCTTATTTTTCAGATTTCATTTTTTTTTAAGACAGTCTCACTACGTCACCCTCAGTAGGATGCCATGGTGTCACAGCTCAGCTCACAGCAACCTCAAACTCTTGGGCTCAAGCGATTCTCTTGCCTTAGCCTCCCAAGTAGCTGGGACTACAGGCGCCTACCACAACACCCAGCTGTTTTTTGTTGCAGTTGTCGTTGTTTAGTTGGCCTGGACTGAGTTTGAATCTGCCACCCTTGGTGTGTGTGGCTGGTGCTGTAACCACTGTGTGATGGGGGCCGAGCTTATTTTTCAGATCTGTGATATGTGTTAACAGTATGCTTTCTGTAGTCAAGTTATATGAGAATGTATATTTTCTGGGATTTTTTATTAGGTATACTTACTGAGATAATAAGTAAAAAGAAAAGGGTATATTTCTTTCTTGAAATTGATATGTATAGCTAATATAATATCTAAGAATGTTTGATTTAAAAAGATAAATTTTTTTGTAGTATATGCAGAGTACTTTGTACTTCTTTAGGAATACTACAAAAGACTATAAAATAGGCCAGACTCCCAACTGCTACCAAAAAATAGTGGGGTGTGTTGGCAGCACTTGTAGTCCCAGCTACTTGAGATGCTGAGGGGAGAGAATCGCTTAAGCCCAAGAGTTTGAGGTTGCTGTGAGCTGTGACACCACAGCACGCTACCCAGGGAGACATAGTTAGACTGTCTCAAAAGAAAAAAAAAAAAGACTATGAGATAGCCTTATAAATGAAAGCTTGCATTAATAGCCACAAAGCACTTCAAGAATAATGAGCGGTGGTGCCTATAGCTCAGTGAGTAGGGCACCAGTCACATAAACCCAGCTTGGTGGGTTGGGACCCAGCCCAGGCCAGCTAAACCGCAGTGACAACTGCAACCAAAAAGAAAAAAACAGTAAACAGTACATTTTGGTTCAGCGCCCATAGCACAGCGGTTACGTCACCAGCCACGTACACTGAGACTGGTGTGTTCGAATCCAGCCTGGGCCAGCTAAACAACAATGACAACTGCAACAGAAAATAGCCAGCCAGACCTGTATTCCCAACTACTGGGAGGCTAAGGCAAGAGGATCACTTGAGCCCAAGAGTTTGAGGTTCCTGTGAGCTGTGACGCCACGGCACTCTTATCAAGGACGACATAGCGAGACTCTATCTCAAAAAAAAAAAAATAATGTAAAAGACAAGGCATGGTGGCCCATATCTCCTAACACTCTGGGAGGCCAAGGGGGTTAGCTTGCTGAAGTTCAGTTTGGCAACAGCCTGAGCAAGAGTGAGTCCACTAACTCCACTGAAAATAGAAAAACTAGGCTGGTGTGGTAGTTAGTGCTTGTAGTACCAGCTACTTGGGAGGCTAATGCTGGAGGATCTCTTCAGCGCAAGAGTTTGAGGTATGAGTTCTGATGATGCCAGGGTATTCTACCAAGGGTGACAGAGTGATATGATGTCTCAAAAACAAACAAAAATACTAATGTGAGATTCAGTATTCAGGGTGAGAGATAATAGGAAAAGAATGAGGCAAATACCTAGTCTGAACATAAATGTTCAAAATTTCTTTGGCTACAACCAGAAAGTTTTATTGAAAGAACAAGGTAATATAAACTCACACTTCCCTAATTTCTCAAATCACACCATAAAACTTACAAAATTCTAAAATAACAGAAAATTGGTAAACATTTCCTTAAACCTTAAATTATGATTAGTATATATAAAATAAAATGGCATATTTTAAGTTATATATATACTCTCTGGAACAGTCTAGGACCCTACTTTTCACTCTCAGGCTCTCCATTTATAGGTGTTTTATGTAATGTACAACAAATTATGACGTTTGCAGCTATAAGTTTTTAGATAATCCAAAGTTATGCCAAATTTGTGATGAAATCTAGGACTTAACAGATGCTAAATTCCCGGTACAAAAATTTCCAATTAAAATATTGTTTCTAATGGAAAAATGGAATCTACTTTTTTGTGGTCCTATGAAATTTAAAATTAATACTGACTGTACCTTCACCTGAAGACAGGAGAAAAAAAAAATCTCTGTTCACCATTAGTTTGTCTAGAACTATAAACTTTCAAAAAGTGGCGGTTAGGTAAAGCCTTTCTTGATTAGTTTGGTTCAGAGTTTAGCCTAGGAGTAGGTAAAAAGAGGTCTGACACTCCTGCTTTTCAGCTAGTTTGTATTACAGTGTGTAAGTGTAATGAAGACCATAGGCTATATTACATATTTAGGTAAAGCTCTGTGCAAAAGGTGTAAGGGACTCTTCTAAAGGAAAAGTAGGGGAGAGAAAAAAAAAGAGCATATAACTTTGTAGTTGTAGTCCAGTCACATTCTTGACACTTGTTCTAAACAGTTAATCCAACATTTGCCACAAAGCAAACATTAGAAATTTTCAGGTTAGTTTAGTCTGTGGAAATATCTTTATATCTTGTTACAATTTTAAAAAATCAAATAAAAACCCACTTAGAAATGATTTTTAAAAATCAAAGTTATTCATTCTGTCATACACACTATGGTGTTTTACATTATTATTATTTTTTGAGACTGCATCTGCCTGTTGTTCTGGGCACAGTGACCTGGTGTCATAACTCATAGTATCCTTAAACTCTTGGGCTTGAGCAGTCTTCTTGCCTCAGCCTCCCAAGAAGCTGGGACTATGGGTACCTGCCACAATGCTCGCCTATTTTTTAGTGGAGACAGGGTCTCATTCTTGCTAAGGCTGGTTTTAAACTCCTGAGCTCAATCCACCTGCTTGTAATCCTAGCATTACAGGCTTGAGCCACCACGCCTGGCCTCCTCCATTAATATTAATGAAGATCTACCTTGGAAAAAGGCTGACCACTGTATTTTTCTGGTTAAAAAAGATGAGTACTGTTATCCTTTATTAGTTGGTATGCTTTCTAATTAAGTAATAGAAACTTAATTATAAGTGGCTTAATAAGGGAGATAACAGTTTTATCCAGAAGTTTGGAAACAGGAAGATCTGAGATTGGTTTGGCAGCTTGATAACATCATCCAGAGACTTGCAAACTTAAATTACTTTGTTGGCTTTTTGTCCTCTTACTTCGGGCATTGTACAGGGGCGACTGGATATAGTATCAAGCTCTTCCTACTGGCAAAGCAGGAATGGGTGAAGGAGAGGGAGGCATTCTTTTTTTATTGGGAAAAATCTTCCTTAAAAACTCTTTGGCTGTTTTCGTTACAAACAAATATTAGCAGAGAGGAATGATTCAGTGATTATCTTTGAAGGCTGAGAACATTTGCTTCTCAAGCAATATTAGAGTTCAGTTAGCCAGAAAGGACCAGTAGCTCTGGATTAGCAACCAAAAGTGCTTCATAATGGGTTGACGATCCAGTCTGCAGGATGATTAGTACTACCTTCAAGTTTATGTTAATTCTTGAATTACTCTCTCGTCTGTCTTTTGGGGGACACTCAGGGAATTTATAGGTAAAAAACAGGTGATTAGGAAGCAACTTTAAGTGATGAGAAGTTAATGAGAAAGACATAAAAATTCCTATGGACAGTATAAAATGCCAGCTTTGAAGTATGATCGGTTCTGAAACTAAAATTTATAAATTAGGTTAATTTTGTGTTTTATTCATAGGTGAAGATGGCATTACGAACGTCAGGACATCTCTTACTGGGAGTTGTTCGAATCTATCACAGGAAAGCCAAATATCTTCTTGCTGACTGTAATGAAGCATTTATTAAGATAAAGATGGCTTTTCGGCCAGGTACTGAACTCTTTCTTTTTACTATGGAATTTCTCATGTTTTCTAGAGCAACATGTTTTGTTATTAGGAATATAAGGAACTCATCAAAGATAAGGCAAGGCTTGAGGAGTCAGTGGTTGGTGTTATATGCTGTGTCTGCTCTACCTCTGCAGTAACGTAAAGCACCTCTTTTTCGTTTTTCCTTTGGGGCTACCTTTCTCTTTAACCGTTTTTCAGCATAGAACAAAGTCATCCGAGGCTGCAATAATTGAAAACTAATTGTTACATGATGATTTTTTAAAATGTGGCTCAGAAAAGACAATCTTAGGATTTTGTACTTTTTCAGAATAATTTTAATGTACTCGCAATGTCACATTTAACTTGTTAAGCCTTTTCATACTTTGTAGCTTTTGTTATTGTTATTTTGTTTTAGATAATGATTGGCTCTAGAACTGGACTCTACCAACTAGACTTCCATCTGAGTAGATAATTACTAGGGTATTTATCTGAATTTACATATCTTTCTGGAATTTTTTTTAAAGCATTGATAAAATTTTAATTAAAAGAATCTGAGGCTCGGCGCCTGTGGCTCAAGCAGCTAAGGCGCCAGCCACATACAACTAAGGTGACGGGTTCGAATCCAGTCCGGGCCCGCCAAACAACAATAATGGCTGCAACCAAAAAATAGCTGGGTGTTGTGGCGGGCACCTGTGGTCCCAGCTACTTGGGAGGTGGAGGCAGGACATTCGCTTGAGCCCAGGAGTTGGAGGTTGCTGTGAGCGGTGAAGCCATGGCACTCTACCCAGGGGGAAAGCTTGAGGCTCTGTCTCAAAAAAAAAAAAAAAAGAATCTGAATGTATAGGAGAAGTTCCATACAGTAGTTTCTACTAAGGATACTTCAGTACTTCAGTTTATTTTAACATATGAATAGTACAATTTTGAGATCTCAGGTTTCATGTAAAAGTGAAATACGTAGACAGAGGCTGTGAAACTTACATGAATTCTAACATATGTGGCCACTAAGTGTGTTTGTTTAAAATACATGCTTTTTTGTTAATTATCTTTCTCTTAAAGTAAGGTGTATTTATTATAGCCAGCTTGAAAAATATAAGACAGATATTAAAATTGAAATTGTGTAATCCTGTCTATGTAAAATAACCAACTCCTTTTAACATTTAGGATACTTGTAGTCATTCTTTTCCCCCCTCATAAACATAATTCTTAATTAGAAACGGTTATTAGTATTTACTTGTTGGCATGTCCATTTAAAGATTTATCAGCTTAATACATAATTAGTGATTTGGCCTGTAATTGCAAAGCAAGTACAGGTTATAATGATAGAAAAATAGAAGAATTTGTACTTCAAGGTCTTTACATCTAGAATATAAGCCTAGGAAGTTACATTCATTTCACTTCCCTTGTAATCTGTGGTGTGACCAGACGTTTAAACTTAGCATTTCCTTTTCAGGTGTTGTTGACCTGCCTGAGGAAAATCGGGAAGCAGCCTATAATGCCATTACTTTACCTGAAGAATTTCATGACTTTGATCAGCCACTGCCTGACTTAGAGTATGTGTCTGTTTTGTTTTGTTTTTTATTGTTAGCTTGGTATACAAAAAGCAAGTGTTAGCTTCCAAATGTATGGTTTTCCTTGAAATATGTTTGATATTGAGTTAACATGTAGCTAAAATGCATATGATTTCGTTTAGGATAGCATATAAATATGAAGCATATAATCTAAAATGTTTTCTTCTCTAAGAAAATCATGTGGGTGTCTACTTTAACACAGCTTAGAGATGAGAGTTTTGATGTGCTTAGGCCAAAGCTTGTGGAAACTGAATAGTTGTCCAGGGATGTACTTTACATAATGATATCAGTAAATGCAAACCATTGTTTTATGATATTTTTCAGTTGTATGTTTAAGTCAGCTCTAATTGTCTCTGCCAAATACTGAGAGCCACAATTTTTTTTTAAACAAACATGTGAGATAACTATCTATGGAGAGTAAGAGAGGGTTACAGTCATGGCACACATTTAAGAGGAGAGATGGAGTCATACAAATTTTGTTTCCCAGTTCATATAAAAGTTACATTTACACTATATCGTAGTTTCTTGAGTGTGGAGTAGCATTATGTTCAGAAAAATACACAATTTTAATTCAAAAATGCTTTATATGTGAAGGTTAATCATTACCAGCCTTCAGTAGGTCATATTCTTTTTGCTGGTGGAAGGAATTGTCTTTGTATTGATGACTGCTGAACATTTTATCCTGAAATCCAACAGCAATTTGGTTATATCTTCAGGCCCCACTTCTAATTCTAGTTTTTTGCTATTGCCACAAAATATGCAGTCACTTCTTCCACTGAGGTCTTAAGCCCTCAAGCTGTCCATAAGGGTTGGAATCAGCTTCTGTCTAGGTTAATGTTGGTATTTTGAACTCTTCCCTCGAATCATGAATGTCTTAGTGGCATCTAGAATGGTGAATCCGTTCCTAAAGGCTTTCAGTTTACTTTGCCCATATGCATCAGAGGAATCTCTATGGCAGCTTTCACTTTACAAGCTGTGTTTTTTAAATAATACATGAAAGTCAAAATTACTTTTTGTTTTGTAGGTTGAAGAATGTTGTGTTAGGTATGAAAACATGAATCTTTTCGAACATCTTCATTAGAGCTCATAAATAACTTGGTGCATTGTCACTGAGCAATAATATGTTAAGAGAAATCTTTCCTGAGTAGTAGATCTCAACTATGGGCTTAAAAAAGTCAATAAACCACGCTGTAAACAGACATGCTGTCATTCGGGCAGTATTGTACCATTTGTAGAGCACAGACAGGATAAATTTAGCATAATTGTTAAGGGCCCCTATGATTTTGAGAATGGTAAATGAGCATTGTCTTCAACTTAAAAGTCACCAGCTACATTTACATTGACTTTCTAACGAGAGAGTCAACCTGTCCTTTGAAGCTTTGAAACCAGACATTGACTTCCCCTCTCTAGCTGTGAAAGTTCTAGGTGGCATCTTCCAATGTAAGGTGGTTTCATCTGCATTGAAAATTTGTTGTTTAGTATAGCCACCTTCATTGATGATCTTAGCTAAATCTTCTGGATAACTTGTTTCAGCTTCTTCATCAATACTTGCTGCTTTGACATCCACTTCTCTGTTCTTCCTAAAACCTCATGAACCAACCTCTGCTAGCTTCTAGATTTTCTTCTGCAGCTTTCCCACCTCTCTCAGGATTGAAGAGAATTAGGGCTTTTGCTCTGGAATAGGCTTTGACTTAGAAGGGAATGTTGTGGCTCATTTGATCTTCTATCTAGACCACTGAAACCTTCATATGGAGGAATAAGGCTGATTTGCTTTCTTATTCTTCTGCTCACTGGAGTAGAACAGTTAATTTCCTTCAAGAACTTTTTGCATTCACAGCTTGGCTAACTGCTTGGCTCAAGAGGTGTGGCTTAACATACCTTCCTCACTGAGCTCAAGCATTTCTAGCTTTTGATTAAAGTAACAGACATGGGACTTATTTTACTTGAGCATTTAACTGGCTATTGTAGGGTTTTTGACCAGACTAATTCAACATTGTTCTATAATACTTAAGTGTATAGGAGGCTTGAGTAGAGGAACAGAGATGGGGAATAGCCAGTTGTCTATAAAGTGCAATAAAATGAGATATGCTTGTATATTACTTATCATTTCAGCATCCTCAGTTAAAACATGGGCTTTTTTCTCCCTCAGTTTAAATTGAGACTATATAAAGTATACAAAGTACATTAACTGCTTAAACTTACTATTTGATTTTTGGATTATATTAGAGTTCTTAAGTATTAAATATTAAGGCTTCTAAAATTTGAATAGGGATTTTTTTTTCCTTATGACTTAGACATTACAATGAGACGTCTAACTAAAATGTATTTGACTTTCTTTTAAAGTGACATTGATGTGGCGCAACAATTCAGCCTGAATCAGAGCAGGGTGGAAGAGATAACCATGAGAGAAGAAGTTGGAAATATCAGCATTTTACAAGAAAATGATTTTGGT